TTTCACCACCGTGATGAAAATAAGAATACCTGCCTATGAGTATGCACACATCATAAGCCCACAGAGCGTTTTGGTTCTCTCACATGCTCTGTTTTGCCTCTGCCTCATTCCTTCTCACTGACCCCTGATCAGCCACTGTAGCTACAAACCCACCGTAACCCATTCCCATGATAACTGATCTGATTCAGCTTCAATCCTCCAAAGCAATGTTGCATCTGCAGAACCAATTCGAGGGGTATGAAGCATAAAATGGACGTAAAGTAATCTGTCATACGTGGTGCTTCTAAGATACAGAATTACACTTTTCTTTTATATAAATAATACAAATCTATGGGACAAACAAACAAAAAAACTCATGTATTCAACACACGGAAGCACGCACAATAAAACAAACAGACAAATGCTAACAGGGGATTACCCATGTTTCAGTAGCAGCATGAAAGTGCATGATTTAGCACCAACAAACCTCATGGCGGGGGCTTTTGTTTTCTCCATTGTCATTCTGTGTGTGCAGTGGAATACGGGCAGCACCGACAAACAGTCTGAAACCTCCTCGGGCTACAGACACAGGCGCGGACAAACTGGCCATTAACTGGCTCTGAATCAGATGGGCCAAGTTTTCCTCTCTAGCTGCTTGGCGAGAAAGTCAATTGAGGTCCAAAAGAACCTCAAGGTATGAGAGCTCAAGCATGTTGCTTTGGGCTTGGAAATGAAAATCTGCCTCATCTTTTTGGAGAGAGGGTGAATTTTGAAGTTCATTTAAGAAGGAATTGGCAGATAACTAGACCGACTGACTCTTTATATTGTACCAACAAATGCCTCAAAGCCTTGGCATATCGTTCCCACTCACAGGGGTGTTTTTCTTTCATCTCTCCTCGCATTCCTTTATCGCTCTGCCACACTCCTCGGATCTGTTGAGACAAATCTGCAGGAGAGCCTTTCTGGTCGTCCCTTAAAAGTTTCCTGTGGGGAACGCTCTTTAAGTTATTATCCATATTTGTGGATTTTTTTTTTTTTTCCTTTTCTTTTTGTCATTGCTGTTACGATCATGTAGAACATCTTCAATCATCTGTGCTTATTTAGGCTGCTGTGTTTTATTTTTAATTCTAGTAGAGCAGGCCAAATGGGAGTGTTAGATGCACAGTGGATGTCTCAGTTGTGAATAACAGAAACATGTTTATTTGGGTTTTTTTATGCGGTGCAACTATTCAAAGTGTAAAAGACGATTAGAGGTGGTGAAATGTCCAGGTGAATATACTGTATATTTGCTTCGCTGTAACTGAGGGCAGTTGTAATTGTTCAGATATGAATATGACAGAGTAGATTAGCCATGCCTTGAATCAACTAGGCTGCAAGGGACCATAAAAGTTACCTCAACACAAATTGCATTAATCCACCACTTATCTATCGGTTTATTAAACCCCCCCAGTAACTCATTATGTCACCATTCTTGATTTGATAACGTTGTCAACCTTTTTACTAAGCCGCCTGCTTTGTGGTCAGGGTCCTCAAGCTTTTTGCATTATCAAGATTGTTCTGTCAGTTAATGTTAGACAGGAATTGAAATGCTTTCATCTGTGACTTTTTCATTACTTAAGTTCTGTCTTATTTGTGTGTTTTTTCCCCTCCATGCAAAAAAAAGTATTCATATCGAAACCACAAAAACCAAAACACAGGCAGTATCCCTCCTATTCGGCAGTGAGTCACGTCACTGTTTTGTGTGAATGAACTGAAATATCAAATGTGTGTGTGTGAGTGTGTGTTGAGTGAGTGGTAATGTGTGGGCAGGCGGGTGTGCACTAACAGTACTGTATGTGCGCACGCTTCAGATCTGTCATTTCTCTTTGTAAGTGCTATGCAAGTACAAAAGAAAAGAAAAGCGTTTTGACTTCTTTTGTTTCCTGGAAGAGACTTTCTATTTTTTCAGATCAGGGCATTGACAGGGTTTTGATTTTGTATCCTAAAGTGATTTTAGAGTGGGATAACATTTTGGTTATGATGGTATATGTGTGAATTCTTCATCTGGATCGGGAAGGATTGAATCACGGACCAAGGAAGCTGCTGTTGGAAAAGCTCACGTTGGAGATCTAAACAAATTATGTGGCGATGGCTGCAAAACAATTTGTGGCGAACACCATGAACTCGTGCCCTGCAGGTCTTTGGGAGGAAATATCTGAACACCACCAGTTCAGAGCGTTGGATCCCTGAACACTGCAGGACTATTTTCCTTCCTCAGAGACTGGCTAGGTGTAGACTACAGTGTTTATTCGTCCAGATATCTTAAGTATTTGTTGGATCTTTGGCCATAGATCTGGATAATTCATGCTGGAGCTGGACTGGATTCCTACCCGCTCCCTTCAAAGAGAACATTTTAGCCTTTGTTCGAGAAGTCAGACATTTTTACGAAAAAAACTAAATGGATTCAGTGACATTATTTTATCTCTGTAAAGTACCAATTGTAAATAAACGTCTAGCCTTCTTACCTGTAACTAAATATAATTTTTATGCAATAAATTATATTTCTTAGTTTAACAACAGCGTGTCTTTTGTTGTTATTGGAATACAAATGTGATATTGAAAAACCAAACATTAAAGTGGCTTTCATAAATCCATAGAGCAAATTGCAGGCCTCTCCAGAGCTCCTGAGCACCACAAAATGACTTTTAAATGGCACCTGTGTTTTTATCAATTACACCCCATTTTCACAGAAAATACAGAGCTACTTAACCTGTCCCTGTTTCCCTCACACCTCATTGGAAAATTCCCTTTAGGTCCATTTAGCTTTAAAAGCTTTTAACTGACAGGCTGTCTAGCCTTCAAATTAACAAATAGCGTCCTTAAAGGATTGACTCTACGCGCTCAAGCATTCTAACCTCAGTTTGTGTTTTGTTTTACGAGGGCAGGAAGTGGGGGGATTTGTCAGATTAGACTCTTAAAATAGAAAAAAACAAATATCCCAGTGAGTCATCTTTAGTGAGAGTGCACTGCAGTATGGTCTTAATGGCAGGCAACTCTTTGCACCTGTTTTATTAGATGCAGTGTTAACTGAGGACTAATATGCCACCCTTCACTGCATGACTTAATTGAACCTTTTGTAATGCATAGAGTGGTGGCACAGTATGAAAGCTGAATGCAGCATCAACCTATAACCGACGGTTTTGGAACTTATTAGGGTACAAAACAGCCATACAAATATTATTTTGAAGGTGTGTAAACACTATCTTGAGAACATGCTACACATTATGTGAATTGCATTTATAGCACACATTTATTTCCTGTAATGTGACATACCAGGATTATTCAGTCACCTAAACATACATTCAAATAGATATGTTACCATATGCATTGATACAGTATATTACAATGCTATGAGTAAAACATACATAATCAATGCTAAGTATTATAGCCTGCAATATGTAGGATGGAGGATGTATTTTAATCTAGGCTCATGATGGTACGAAAAACAAAAGATACATAATGGAGTTTATTATTTGTGCCGACTGTTTCTGCACAATTAGACCTGTTGTTGCCAGGGAACACAACAGATCAGCAGCTCTTAATTTGATAACATGCACATATAGACAGTGATTCCATTGATCATTTTGGAGATGTCCAATCCTGTGACACAGAGAGCCATGAGTGCAAGCTTTCACTCCAGACAAAATACAGAAAACCTCTCTGCGTCATGTTCGAATATAGGGGACTTTTAGTCTTGATTATTTCTTATAGGTAATACAATTGTTTTTCACTTTCTAGAGGCCAATAACACACTAGATGGGTGGATATGCTGTGTTATAGTGCCCTCTCCTGGTAAACCCCACTCCTCAACAAAAGCTATCTACACAATGCTACACCATAATCAAAACAAATGTATAGATAAACAGGAAATATATATAATTTAAGGGAAGTTAAATGCGTATTAGTTTATACAAACCATAAATGAATCAAACATGTTATATTTCAGTATGCTTTTCAGTAGATTAATAAATTGGATGTTTGACAGGCACATTATGCAACAATATTGTTAGTGCCACAAAGAAAACGACCAACACAATTGCATTGCATACAATCAATACTTGTTATGTAATAATGTGTCCACAGCAAAATATGTTATTGACACTACTATGTACTAAAGTTTTCTGTTGGTAATGAATGAGTAATGCTTTAGTTTGGATATCTAAAGGTAAGGTTTACTTTAAAAGTACCACTTCAATCTGTATGATAGTATTGTGTTTGTAAGCTTGGTCAAGGAAATGTAAAAGATAATAACACAGAAACACAATATTCTACATTTTATGTATAACTAGTACTTGTCGCTTTAACTTTTAACAAGTCTGTAGTCCTGCATATCTCACAAATCAAACTTTAGAATTTATTTAAATGTCAGTACAGAAGAAGCTAAAGAAATGCTGTATGATAAAATGATTATCTTAAAAAGTAAATTATATTACGTTTCTCAAAATCACACAAGACTAAAAGCAGAACGTCTATTTAGTATGTCTTAATTGTTAAGCAGATTTCTCCTTGCAACAATGTGCTGTTATCGTTGTGTATTTCCAAACATTGTAAGTTAGCAGCAAATGTTTTTTTAAATCCTGTATACATCCTGTATAAATATGTGGTATTAATAAGCAAATAATATCTATAATAATATGTTTTGATAAAGCACATGTATTTCATTTGTAAATAAGTGCTTTTATTTTTAGAACCGGAAATGTAGTAAGCTACAAATTCAACAGTAACAACATAACTTCCGGTAAGTGGTCCTACTTTCAGATTAATAGCGTGAGATACTTTTAACTTTTAAATGTTTTGTTGATTTCAAAATACCTTGGGATGAGGTGAAGTTAAAAGTTTGAAAGTTAAAATAAGTATTATGTTACTAAAATGTACTATTTAATTGAGTAATATAGCAATTTGTTTCTGATTTGTTTAAATAATACTCTTATTTTGAAGGCTTCGTGTCGGAAGTCTTATTGTTGTTTACGCTGTCTGCTCAGAGGCAAAAAAAGATGTTAGTCAGCTGACCAGAAATGAAGTTGCTGTTAAATATATTTTGTTTCAGACTATCACTTGTTGTAAAGACAGAAGCAACATCAGGGAGTCTCCAACAATGAGGTAGGTTTATATTTCATTTAAAGAGCCCTACATTAAACCACGAATCGAGAAGGTTAGCTAACCGCTACATTTTCGTACACTACTTGCTTGGTTACAAACTTAGCTAACCTCTCATGTAACTTTGACTGTTAACAGCGGTGTCGACAATAAACAAACACACTTTAGATAAGTCTATTTGCTTGAAGACATTAACAACGAAGACTTTCGCAGAATGAGCAGAATATATTTACTATAGAAAGTCATAAAACTGTCTGAAACCAGCTGCAGTGACGCATACTTTGATTTCCACGACTAAATCCGTGTAATAGCTTTTTCTTGAGTAAGCATCATGTGAATAGTGGTTCCTCATTAGAAGTACTTAAGGATGCAAAGTCAGCTTTGTCTTGTCATGTCAGCCTTTTTTAACCTCCTTAAATAGTTAAAGTAATAACCTCATATTGCGCAAGCAGGTTTTTCTATATGTGTGTTTTGCCCAGACGATTATCTGATTCCACCTCATGACTGTTCCTGCATGCATGTTGTTGGCCATGTGAGGTTGTACTGTGCAGAACATGTGTGAAATTAAACTGGTCATAGCTAAGAGCAGAGGTGAGAAGTAACTACGTACATTTACACAACTACTGTACTTTTGAGGTACTTTTACTTGAGTATTTTCATTTTATGATACATTATACTTCTACTCTACTACATTCAAAAAGAAAAGAATGTACTTTTATTCCACTGCATTTATATAATAGCTTTACAACATACTCATTAAGTCACTAGAGAGTCAAATCATTTAATCATTTAATCATTTGACAAAAAGTCAATCAGAACTTTGTACATTATGAACAGTATAATGCTACTTGATGCACAAATATGATCTAGAAATGTCCCATAAATAAATATAATTATATACACACATAAAGGCAATTTTTCGTACTTGTACTTTTTATATTTTACGTACATTTCTTTTACTTAAGTAAGAATTTTTTTCCTGCAGGACTTCTACTTGTTTTGAAGTATTTTGACAATAATGTATTGGTACATTTACACCAGTATTAAAACATCTTAATACTTCTTCCACCATCTTTACTACAAGTGCTAAATGCTGGATTACTTAATGTGAGATAGTATTTCACTTGGGACTGATTCCTGCTGTTGAAGAGCAGTGGGTTCACTTCCACACACTGCTGCCAAATAGTTATGATTCAAATCGTTGATGCAGTGGCACAGTAAGACTAGGACAAAGTGTTTATGTCACATACCACATCATCTGAATTGTGATGATGAGCCATTTTTAAATTGTTTACCTTTCTGCGCCTTTTGATGTACTGTGTGTCCTGTTCAGTGTGTGCTGAACATGTTAAACAGCTTCTCTCTTGTGTGTCTTACATGCCAAGGGATAACATCTGTACATATGCCCAGGATTTAATGTTATTTGTCACGGTTTATAAGTGACTCCTTGTCCTGCAGCATCACATGATCGGGACAATCGGACTGATCTCAACCAGCAACAGCAGACTATGGCCTCACAACGGACAGCCTGCCCTTTCCCTTCTGGACTATCACAAGTGAATGTAAGTAGAGCTCCAACTCTTATACTCCTTGATAGAGTTGATTAGTCTTTCAAATGTCAGAAAAAGTATTAGACATTTTGCTCAGTGTTTCCTAAAGCCCAAATAATGTCCTGAAATGTCTTGATGTGTCCACTGCTCAAAGATATACAGTTTAAAGTCGTAGAGGGGTAGAGAAGCCAGGAAATATTCACATTGAGCTGGAATCAGAGATCTGTTTTCCTTTAAAAAAACAATTAAACCTTAAACTTATCAATCATATGTGAAAATAGTGGGTGATTCATTTATTAATTAACAACTAATAAGCTAATCGCCAAAGCTCTTAATGAACCCCGTAGCCAAACCCCACATATTTCAATATTGTTATCATTTCGCTGTGATCTTTTTAAACTTGTTTTTTTTCTTCTTCTCATTCACAGCTCTCTGTTTGACACTTCCTTTCTTTGGTCTACTTTTACTGCCTTCCCTTTTCTCGCTTGCCTTTATTCTGTGAGCGTCCTGTAGTCTGTGTGTGATGGAGGACTCGGAGCCTGTGCAGCCCAGCCTCAACTCCTCCTACATCCCGGGTGCTCTGGGCCACCAGCAGTTATCTGAGGATGAGGAGAGCGAGGAGCAGAACCCCTCAGCCTCCCTGCTGCCCAAACAATCCTCAGTGCCTCTGGCCGTGCGCTACAGTCCAGAGGACTCTTACTTTCTGGTTTACATCATCTTCTTTCTGATGGGCATCGGCTCCCTGCTGCCCTGGAACTTCTTCATAACAGCAAAACACTACTGGCTCTACAAACTGAGCAACGACACACATCACAGCGGCAGTGAGGAACAACGCTCAGACCTCAGCGTGAGATTCTAAATACAGCTCATGTTCACCATGCATGTGTTTACACAGGAAGATGCACATTTGTGGCATTCTACATGCTTTTCACATCTGTCACAGTAATGTGCTTCCTCACATCTGTCACAGTACTGTGACAGATGTGAGGAATGTCTTTTCATATCTGACAGAAATACATTGAGACACAATCATACAATTAGACAAGGTTAGTTAAGGTCAACTAAGATTAAAGTATAGTCAGGTTGGCCAGGAAGATATGCTTCAAATGTATTTATTTATTTCTAAACTGAATGAATGTATCGGTTTCTGCTATTCTGAGATTAATGCTTGATTTGATTTGACTTAGAGATCTTAAAAAATATAAGAAAGGAAGGAGGAACATGTTTCATTTTATATTTCTCCTCCCTGCTTTCACTTCCTCTTATATTGTGTGTATACTTTTTGAGTGTTTTTTTTCATCTTATGTTCAAGGTTATTTAAGTGTTTGACTTCTTCTGTAACTATCCACAGGACTACTTTGAAAGTTATCTGGCCATTGCCTCCACGGTGCCCTCTGTGCTCAGTCTGATACTCAACTATGTCCTGGTTAACAGGTCAGTTCCACACACACACACACACACACACACACACACACACACACACACACACACACACACACACACACACACACACACACACACACACACACACACACACACACATTGAAAAGCATCTGCAGCAGATAACATATTGTATAATACGTATTATAATTATTACATGTGCACAAATAATAGCTCACATATGTCCATCAGCACAGTTTGTTAAATGTTCATATGTAGTTTTGTTTACCGATCTTGTGAAAAACTCCTAGCACTTGTCTCTCTGTGTGTGTTGTGGGTAGGGTGTCCTCAAACGTGCGGATCCTGTCCTCCCTTTTTGTGATCCTGCTGGTGTTTGTGGTCACCACGGTGATGGTGAAGGTGGACGTGTCTGACTGCAGGACGGAGTTCTTCATCGGCACGCTGGTCAGTGTGGCTGTGGTCAGCGCAGCCTCCAACGTCTTCTCTGGCAGCATGTTCGGCATCAGCGGGCATTTCCCCATGAGGATCTCTCAGGCTCTCATATCAGGTACAGTCATAGTCTTTATAGCATTTAGACAGTATCATCATACAATATATGTTTTCTCAGAAGAAAAACATGTGTCATTTGTAATCAAGGCAAATCTGATATTTTTAGGGAGGTTGATGTGTTGTTGTGCAATACCAATTATGTGCAATATGTGTGATATATATATATATATATATATATATATGCCATTAATAACGGTGCAATATATACCTGGCTGCTATATCTCAGAACTGTTACAGGATGTGTATTTTGTAAATTGTGTAATTTTTATTTTTAATTGTTTATCTTCAATATTTTTGAATGCATGCTTCTTGGGTAATATTTAGCTGTCCTTGGCTCTTTTCTTGCTGTAACAAATGCAAATTTCCCCTCCAATAAAGGGATTCTGATTCTGAATCGTTTTGCAAGCCCCTGTATATATAATGCAAGATTAGTGCATATGCCTGTTTGCACGTACAGAAGAAATAAAAATGAAAAGATGAAAAGAAAAGTCAAATTCCTTGGTAATTCTTTAATGTTGGCCCTCTGTCTCCATCAGCTCTCTTCTGTACTTTCTAAGGCCAAGAAAGATGAATTTATAGTAACATAGGACATGTGAAGGTATTTGTACCTCTTGTTAACGGACTGCACAATACTGTCCATAACCTGAGGTCCTTGTTGTCTCAGGCCAGGCCATGGGGGGCACTCTGAGTGCTCTAGCATCAATAGTGGACCTGTCCGTGGCGAAGGATGTGATGGACAGCGCTCTCGCCTACTTCCTCACAGCCGACGTCTTCATCCTGCTCTGCATCATCACATATCTGCTGCTGCCCAAGTTTGCATACACTAGGTCAGTACCAGGCAACCATTGAGTATGTTCCTCGCATCACACATGTAAGTGATGATAACACCTTCCCTTGTCCTGTAACATCTACTTGAATCTGAATCTGAATACTAAAGATTTACCATACATTAACAGGGTGCATTATCTGCCACTGTCATTCCTCATACCACCACCAGAGGGTGCCAAAGATACAAATGTTATCTTCTTACCGATTACAGACACTTTGTTTTTGCGTTTTAAGTGTCATAGCTATTGTTTTATTATAGTCACAGCACCCAACTCATTATTTATGTCTTATATTTGATTTGATACTGAATTTGACACAGTTATGCTTTTTAAAATAATAAGAAAATATTAACTGGTCACCAAGAGAGCATTATGATAAAACATATGTTTCGACAAAACAACTTCCATCCATCCTCCTCCAACGCTACCCCACTTGCCGTTGCCACAAATATTATGGATATTGTGTGTTGCAGTTTAACCAGCAAAGAGCCCCAATTTTCTAATCTGCATATCATTCTGTCAAAGGGCCAATAAGTCATTTCTGTATTTATAGGATCAACAAAACGTTTTTTAAATGTACTAGTGACATGTATGCTTCTCTTCTCTCCTCTCCAGACACTACATGATGGCAGCGACGCACCTTGGTTCAGGGGGGACGAGCGAGGGGGCCGTCTCTGTCCCACCGCTGCGGCCGATCCTCAGGAAGACATGGGTGCTGGGCCTGAGCGTCTTCTACGTCTTCTGTGTCTCCATCATGGTGTTCCCTGCAGTCTCCTCAGGGATCCAGTCTGCCAATAAAGACAGTGGCAGCCCCTGGACCACCACTTACTTTGTGCCCATCACCAGCTTCCTCCTGTACAACATATCGGACTTCTGTGGCCGGCAGTGCACGGCCTGGCTGCAGGTCCCTGGGCCGACCAGCAGGGTCCTGCCTGCCCTGGTGCTGTGCCGCTCCGTCATGGTGCCCCTCCTCATGTTCTGTAACTACCAGCCCAGGGACCACCTCAACACTGTGCTTTTCGGCCACGACGTGTTCCCTGTGGTCTTTAACTGCCTGCTAGGCCTCACTAATGGCTACTTAGGCACTCTGCCGATGATTTACGGCCCTAAGGTGGTCCCTCGAGAGCTGGCCGAGGCCACAGGAGTCGTCATGTCCTTCTTCCTCACTCTGGGCCTGGCTGTAGGATCTGCTTTCTCTGTGCTGATTGTGCACTGCATCTGACCAGGCTGTTATCCTCTACAGGTGTGTAGTTGAACTATACAGCAGACAGTGGCTGGACAGCAGAGACTGATGAAGACTACCAGCACACCAGTGTTCTGACATGAGGGGAACAAAGCGATAATAATTTAAACTAACTAAAAAGCATTTTTGCCTCTAACTCTACAGTATTGTGTTTACTCTAATGTGGGTGGCTCATGATGTTAGCCTTACTGTATCTGCAACATTAGCAATGTGTGCAGTTCATTAGTAAGACCTCATCACATCTATTTGGTACAAGGGGTGAACATTTGTGGTACATATAAAATTGTGATGCCAAGGTTGTTAAATGTTATATTAATTCTCACTAACAATGTGTGGATAGAAAAGATCGGGGTTCTTACACTTTCCGCCACATTTTTTAAATCCATATGACAGTGTCTTATCTTATATCAGCCTGAAAAAATGTCTTGACTCAGTGGGGCCATTTTCTTACTTGTAAACTAATCTGAACTGCAATGTCATCAATCAGGGATCTAGCATCTTTTCAAAAATATATTAAGTTTATTTCCAGTAGCTTACACTTCATGTAACCCATCGACACAAGCCATAACAGATGTTATACTGCACTGGGCAAGTAGTACACCTTTTTATTAGGGATTCTAACGTATAAGTCTATTTTTTTTTTTTTTCCCCAATAGCTTCTGTCATGTGACCCAGTGACTCCCAATCAATTCAGTATTGTATAACACGGAGGATACACCTCTCAATTCAATTTGAAAATGTGTGGTAGAAATAATTGTAATTTCTATCCAATCACTTACACTTTCATGACTGACTCCCAAACCATAAAAATGTAAATAACCTGGATTTAATGGCTTCTATTATTTAAAAATGCTAAAATTCTGCTATTTTTTCATGAGGGAATATGTGTGTAGATGTCCTCAGGGCTGGACTGTTGTAATCCATAAGAAATTTGGAGCATATTGAAGAATGTTTGAGTTCCAACAACTCTGTTTCCCGCCAAAAGATGCCGATTCCTTGTGGGGTTTACAGTAAAACCGCAAGACTATTTTCTTTGTCTCCACTCCTCGTTATGTAGACCTGTCAAACATAATAAATGTGGGACAGAAACTGCAGGGACTGCGTTCTACGTGGCGGTTTTGCCACAGTTTAACAGTTAGCCTTTTTACATTTCAATTTGCATATCACAAATCTGCATTGTACTGAAGAGGGAGTTCTTTAAATGACCAAGAGGTGAGTGGGTGTTGAGGTAGCACAACATGTTGTCTGGCTAAACCAGTAGCAGTTAGGTTAAGCTTGATACAAATAGAGAGCTTAATTACTTGTACAACAAAAAGAAAGAAAACTAAATAGTGGATTGGTGTCACTTTAATTGTTAAAATGTACAGATCAAGAGACAGTGGTCTCAGGCAGACAACAAATGAATTAGAGATGCTCTCTGCATTTAGAAACAGTGATTTACAAACAGCTGGAAGAGTGCAAACAATGAGAGCTGAGGGAGAGGTAGTACGCTTTCAGATTAATGACCTCCATATCAGATCCTTAAAACAAGAACACGCATTCTGTCTACAAAATATAAATGTGTCTAAGGATCAGACATACTGCTAAAAGTATCGCACTGAGCGGTCTCTCCTGAGCGCACTCAGTTTCTCCAGGGGGAAAGAATCAATACAGATGGTGAGTGGGTCTGATGCTGCATCAACATTAAACATGTGGTCTTGCATACATCACGCCCAGCAGGAAACACAGGTAAGTACCGACAGGGAACCTTTGACTCGGGTCTCAGTGAAGTAGTAACAGGCTAGGCTAGGCTGAGCTCCGCCCCCCCCCCCTCGCTCCTCCCCTGCTCCAGCCCCCAGAAAACAAAATATCCAGTCCCTTTACACCATGGCGTCATTCGAAATATCAAAGTTAATTTATACATAAACTGCATTTATTAAAAAAGGAAAAAAGGGGGAGACAAATTAAAAATCAGGAAGCAGCACTACAGTATATTTTCATTTGATTCCCTACTGGTCAGTTTGTGCTTCTTCTTCCTTTATACCCACACATGGAGTTTGCAGTGATTCACAGCCTAAAAGAGAGAAAACTAAAGATTAGACCGGACCCTTTCAAGCAGATTTGTACAGAAAAAGTATACATAAACAGTTGAACAGTTAGAAAGCGAAGGCATTAGTCAGAGTTATAGCCTTAGAAAAAGGTAGTATATATCCTCCTAGAAGCTCAAGAACGCCTCGTCTAGGTGTCGAAATATGACTGAAAGACTCACATTGCACCGAGTTGCTGTCTCCATGTTCTTGCACCAGAAAGCAGGACCCCAGCTGCACTGCTCTGTTCCCAGCAGCCTGCGCACTGCTTCAGGACAGGCTCCCATTTTCTGTTACACAAACAAAAATCAGATAAATGCTGCATTTCGGTTTGGCAAGACGAATATCCCCCGTTACTGCTTGTGACAAACAATATATGTCAAGTCAAAACTTCTCCTCCTTCATTGCGACAACCCATAAAAAAAAAAAACCCTCAACAAGGAAGATAAAGTGTTCACATGTCATGGTATTTAGTTATGAAGTGGTCTAGTTTACCATGCACACAAAGTCGGGGTCGAGCATCTGGAGGAGCAGCTGGATGAGCATTGGTTCGTACTGTTGCATCATCTGGTCACACTGTTGACAGACACACAGAGGTTAATACAAGGAGAAGATGTGCAAGTATCACAAGGTAAAGAGATCAAACTGCAGCTACTCACCTCGGTCTGGAAAGAGTCGGGCAGGAAGCTGCACACTTTCTTCACTGCCTCCTCAATCTGTGCCTCCGTCGCGTTCTTCTCCAAAATACCATCGATGTAACCGACGGCCAGCTTGCAGACCTGGCAGAATCCGCCAGCCTTATAGTGAGCCAGGTTGAGGACAGCTGGAAAGAGCAAGAGCAGAGGTCACCTTTATTACAAACACATGAAAATTCCCCGTTGGCTTCAAAAAAGATGCAGAGAAAACAGACCCCTCACATGTACAGAGTAAACAATGACTTTGAGTTCAGAGATCACACATACATGACATGTTTCTGAAAATGTCCACATACTATAATATGTCGTTAACTTACACAGCATATTTTCTTCATACCATCCCGTTTCTTTTCTTTTTTTGAAGAAAATGTGGCATTATATACCATGTCGTTTTGAATCCATATTGTGCAAATACCTTACTATATATTTCTTTCTTTTCGTATTATCCAAATTAGTCAGGTTTTTTGCATTTTTTCCATGTCGTTCTCTTCTGAGAATATCAACATACTACAATTTGTTTTGCATGTTATCGAGATACTATGTATATACTATTTCCACATGATATACTTAGTTGTTTTTCTTGCATATTTCAACATATTTGGTCATTTTTGGCATCTACAATACTATGTTGTTTTTCAGAAAATCTCAGCACATTTTGAACCCAACATCTCTACATAACATTCACAATCACTTCCTGTGTAATCTTGTTCCTCCACCATCAGCACCAATTCAAACATGAAATATGTAACCAGTCTACCATCTAAAGTGTACAAAATCCCTTTCGTCAGTAAAGCTAACATTCTCATTCAGTTAGTTTGAAGGCTCAGAACTTACGGACAAAAGCCCGGCTGGCATCATTGCAGAGGGCCAGCACGGTGCAGACAATCTTGGGGTCGGCCTGCTGCACCAGCAGCTCGATGATGGCCTGGCCGTAGGTCTCCACCAGGTCCTTACACTGGGCCGACAGGGAGCCGGGCAGATACGTGCACACCTTCTCCACAGCAGCAATCACCTCCTCCTGAGAGAGATGAGAGAGTTAGCAAGAGTTAGCATGGCCCCAGAGCTGAGTCTGACTCACTGCATCATGGAAGAAGTACAGTACATATTGGATGGATCTAGAAGCAAACAGCCCACCTCTGTTTTCTGATCCTGCAGCATAGCCTCCAACTGTTTCATCACCATCTGACAGATGGTACACCCTGGGGAGTCACGGACACGCACCATGGCAGGCTGGAAACACAAAGAAGATACTTTATGTTTTGTTTGCATGTAGAATGTGAAGAAAAAAAAAAAAAAAATCAGCTGTCAGGCGCCCACAATGACTTACCTTAGACTCGACCTTGGTGGCAGGGAAAAGCCTGAGAGCAGGGACAGTCTTGACAGCAGGAACAGTCTCCACAGCAGGAACAGTCTCCACAGCAGGAACAGTCTCCACAGCGGGAACAGTCTTGGCAGCCTGCAGGTTCATCATGGGAATGGACTTCTTCATGGCGGTGCAGAAGCCAGCGTGGGCGCAGAGATCCTTGGGTTGCTATGGGCACAAACAAAAAGTTAACTTACACAGAAAATGGTATACAAAACCTGCCATTTTGCATGCCGTTAGCATAAACTGTTTCCGTGATCCGCATTCCACAACATGCTACCCATGCAAAAATGGTACCAGAATAGAAATCCAAAACACATCTCACTTTTATCAATAACCAAAACAAAAAGAAACACACCCATTCAGACAAAAAAAGGTTTACTTCTGCAGATCTAAGACATCATACAAGATCAGCCAGCATTGAACCGCTACATACAGCACAACAAAGACGGTGGCTTTTATGACGGGGATAGCTACTGCAATGTTAGTACTGTATGGTCATGTGAGAGGACACAGGCAAGTTTTAATGCAGTCCTTACAGTTACGTGTCAAGTTATTAGCCACACAAGCAAAGTATTGAGGTTAAGTCAAGTAGTGTGACTCTTAATTAGATGACCATGTTCATGCATCTCTACAGGGTTAGAGTGGACAGAGGCAGAAGAAGAGAGCTAAGGGTTAAGAGGCTACAGGCCGAACGCAGAGAGAACCTACCTGTTCCTGAGGAGCGGCAAAACCCAGAGAAAACAGAACCGGAATGGAGAGGGAGAAGAGTAAAGAAGGAACACAGGGCAAAAAAAAAAGAAGAAAGTGATTTAAAGATGGGAATAAATGTAAGGCAACAGCTCAGGTGGGGCTGCAAGACTGAATATGGGCTTGGCACTAAAGAAACGTACAAATTATCACATTTATTAGTTTGATAATTACGCTTGCCATACGAGAATATGAAGACAATTTATGTTTGAAAATGTAGAAGTGTTTCTCTGGACTTTTAAAATCAGACCGAGACATAAGGAGGAGGGTTCAACTCACCATTGACATGATCGCCTGAATAACAGACGCGGCATACTGGCTCACATACTGCTTGCACTGCAATAAAGAAAAAGAATGTCAATAAACAGCATTGTTTTATTGTTTCACGAAGACAAAAACCAAAATGTCCTCCACTCTCACCATGTCAGAAACACCGGGTCCCAGCAGGTCACACTGGTTCTCAAGATTCTCGATCAGAGAGTCGACAAATGTGGAGCTGTTCTTGGCTTCTGCTTGAGCGTCAGTCAGGAACTTGACACAGTCCTGGCACACAGCATCACTTTCCTACAGAGAGGGTTAGATCCAGAGCAACATTTCATCAATAACACACCAGGAACATATTCCCGTTTTCATGTCGATGCGGCCGTTAGTTGTGTACCAGCTTTGGGGTCTCTTTTTTGGGGGCCTCCTTCTTGAGGTTCTCCTGAGGATAGAGGAGCCCGGGGATATTGAGCAGGAATGGAGACAGTTTCTGAGCCAGGTCCACCTGAGGGATCTCATTGGACACCAGCTGTTCCTTGGCATGGACCTTAGCGAGGGCTAGCTGCTGAGACTGGCACAGCCCCATGGCTCCACACGCAACACTGGGGTCCTCCTAAAACAGAAACCTTTAAGTTACTCCAAGAACTGCCACATTTATACCATCACTTTATAGCTTAGTGCTTCCTTCAA